CTGATTATATACAGCAATACAGTTTCTATTGGCTTTTTATTGTTACGTTTTATTTTTTTACACTATTATATTCTTTTGGTAATGTACTGGGCAAGCGGTATAGCGAAAGTATTAGAGGTTCGATCGCCAGACTATAGTAAATTTAATGATTCGAAAACGACAGATCAAAATCCTGATACTAAATCTGGCCATTCAAGCGTAATTTTGAAACTAAAGCGCAACAAACTTGGAAACTTGTTTGTCACTTTAACTAAGAATTCCATACAGTTATGGGGTTTTAGGGTAAGGCATATAAGGTGACACTTCGAATTTGTCTTGTTAGCACCGAGAAAATGTTTCAAATTCTGCTTAGCTGGTCTCGAATTACAATTAAAAAAACACATTTTCTATTTCCATTTTATATTATAATATGAAGCCTACAGCGTTAATATCACAAGTAACTAGAACCATAAAATCAATTGAAGAGTATGGTGAAAATATCGACGTTTTTTGGAAGCCTGATGGAAATCTTATAATCGTTCAAGTAAGTTATTTCATTACCGCAACAAAAATTCTCATTCTTATCTGCCCATTTCGGTTTAATTAATATATACATTTTAATTATACCTAAATTTGATAATTAGACGAGTCAAAATTGCTTATTCACTTATACAGTTCTCCCTTTCGATGATAAAAGTTACAAATATCAATTTGGTCGTGTATCGCATCATTATGTCTCTGGTGCAGGGGAAGGCAATGGAATAAAAACATTTTTGTTAAAATTTAGAATGACTATTAGGATCGATGCTGGAATGGAGGCGTGAGTAGGTTTCTCTTTGCTTTTAAGATATGTCCAAGTTTTATATGAAATTTTCTTATGTCATTTACACTTAACTATAAAAGAAGAAAAAAACATGCATATACTTATTTTTAATTATATTTATTGTTCTAATTGGGGTTTTTTTTCTTTTATGGATTTGACTGAACAGGGGGGTTGGAACGGACGAATACCTGATTGTCTCAACAAAAACTCCACCCGCAGTTCAGTGCATACCTTGGCTTGGTGAACCCAGTGGAACAAAAACAAATATATTGTCTCGATTGGAATTTCTAAAGTCTAAAGAAGGTTCGTAATTATTAAGCGTGAAATCGTAATGAAGAGAATTTAAAGTGTAAATCATAAAAATATTTCCTTTATAAGAATACAAAATGTTGAAACGTTAATCACTTTTGAAACAGTTCAAAGTTCTTATTTTTTTCTTGGCATACAACACATTATTTTTAAAATATTTATGATTTATTTATATATAGTCACAATTAAATTAATCGTGTTTGATCGACGAATCGATCTTTTTGGATGGATAACTTCTGATGGAAAAGCTTATGCTGTACAGTTTAATGAAAATGATACATCTGTAAGTACTTAAATGTTGGTTATTTAGTAAGTGATTTTTTATGAGATGTTATATTCACTATTTATTTTTTATAAATAATAGGCAGAAAAAGTTGTCAAGACTCCAACGTTATATTGGACTGGATATTGTTTCCACGCAAGTGATGATCTTGAACCCGTTCCGAAGAATCGTGCTACTTGTATAGCTATTAATGCGAAATTCTCCTTAATTGCTGTTGGAACTGAAGGGTTAGTCTATTTAATAGATATATATGTATTAGCAAAGAAAACATGCCTTGGTCAGTAATGATACCAAAAATGCTTACTATTTTTTTGTATATTTACATGCTTATATAATTTTAATCTGAAATGTTTTCTAGGGGTGCTATCTATGTATACTTTGCTAAGAATTATAATGGCGACATTTATTTTTCACATAAATTATCTATATCTGAGTCCTTAGAATCTTTTAATATCCTTTCATAAATCCATACCTCAGTGCCAAAATTTTTCATAATGTATTGTTTTATTTCCTTAACAACGATTCACCTATCTCTGCAGGATCCGTGACATCACTTGCTTGGACTTCTGATGGCTATGCCATTGCTGTGGGGTGGCAAAATGAAGGAATGGCCGTTTGGAGTGTTTACGGTCGATTGTTGATGACAACTGTCAGAGATGATTTACCGCAATCGATGTATGTATAGAATATGATTATCTTTTTGTTCATTTGTTTTAGGATGTAGAATAATTATAAAATTTTCTAAATTTTCTGTTATTTTTATATCGTAAAAGCTCAGCGTGCAAAGATGCATTTTTACATGGTATTAACGACTTGGTATGTGTAATTATTCCCTTGGAATTAAATGAAAATACATATACGAAAATGGCATCATTTCCTATTTGTAGTTTTGGAGTTCTGGAAATTGTGAGCTCTTTTTATTGCATAATGCAAAGTCTGAAAATGGTAAATACTTCTTTTTATGAAATTTCTATATTAAATTTTTATGAAAGAATAATGGGAACAATTTTTTTGTGTTATAGACGATCAATTATATACTCTTCCATTTGCCAAGTCCGCTGTAACAACGATCCACAGTCCAGTTAAGTTTGTAATATTATGTATTAATGATTTCCTTGTTTAAATTTATAATAATTGTTGAATTGGTTTCAATAGGATAATACAAAAAGAGGATTTTTACAAATGGATGACCGTTTATTGCTTTATCGTGGCGGTGATCAAGAAGATCTTAGCGCCATTAATCCTGACACTATAGTTTGGCAGCACATTCCAGTATGTGAAGAATATCAAAATTAATTGACAGGATTTATTAGTAATCTTAATTACAATAACTTTTTTTTTTAATTCATGTTTTTAGGTACCGATCATGTATATCAGCGAAAATTGGCCTATAAAGGTATTAATATATCTTTGAACGCATTTTTAGCTTATTTATTTAATTTTTTTTATAATTCTTATTCCGTTTTTCATTTTAAATTTTTAGTATGCATCTATAAGCAGTGATGGTCGGTACATTGCAGTTGCTGGTAGACGTGGATTGGCACATTATAATGTTACTTCTGGTCGTTGGAAACTATTTGGCAATCAACAGCAGGTTTGCAATAATTGAAATTTATATCATAATTTAATTAATTCTACATTTATAGTAACTCATGCCTATTGAATTAAATATTATAGGAACAAGAATTTGCGGTTCGTGGTGGATTGTTATGGTTCAAACAGTTTTTGGCTGCTGCATGTGAAAATGTTCGAACACATACGTATGAGGTACTACTGCAATTTTTTTTTAAATCCATCGAAGAATTACAGAAAAAATCTTTAGATGTTGTATACGTTCAATTGTTGATTATTAAAGTAAATTGATTTGTAATTAGATCAGAATGTATTCACGCGAAACAAACTTGGATAATATTCACATGATTCAACTTATCAAAATACCTAGTAATATATTATATCTTAGCATCGTGGATAATGCACTACTTGTTTACTGTGGGGATAATATGATGTATCATTATCTTATGACCATATTATCGCCTCACGACAATGGAGGTATCAAATCAATTTCAGTTGAATTGTGCCAACAAATTTCTTTTGTCGGCGTGATTCATGCCCCAACAAGAGTTAGTTCTATCTCATGGTTTCAACCAAAATTGCATAGTAAGTTCAACAAGTTTTTGAACTCTATTTTGCCTAAAATTTTTGATACTTCATAATAACCAATGTATATATATATATGTGATAGGACCTTTCACCCCGGATACTATTCAGACTGCTTCAATAATATTTCTTATAGATGGAAAACTAGTCCTGTTGTATCCTAAAAAGGTTTGCACAATCTGATTTTCATATTTGTGTTCACGGTCTTTGCCAACATTTGTATATTCATATACTCATATCTCTTATCTCTTTTCAGAGTGATGAAGGTGAGGTACAATACGACCTACACATTCTCGCTGATAAAATTGAGTTTTATTGGATGTCCACACGCGGAATTGGCAGTTTGAAAAATTCCTTATGGGCTTGTGATAGTCAAGGAGTTAAGGTAAAAAAAAAAAATGGTTGAATTAAGAGTAATCGAAATATGTAATTTTTTAATGATTTGTATTTTCTTTAGATATGGATGAATATATGGTCCAACGAAGAAACTGCGAAAGATTGGCAATCAGACGTTTTATTATCAGCAACAAAAGAATCTTTGCGTATAAAATTAGAATTTTATCCTTTATGTGAGTCTATCATATTAAACATAGTGATAAATTTTTGAACCGTTTATTACATACCTAAATAAATATTTATGTTTCGTGAATGTCTGTGACATTGTTTATTTAGCCGTATTGCTTGATAAAGGCATTATCGTTGGCGTTCAACAACAAACTTCTTTCAGACAATCTCTCGAGTTTACTATTTTCAAATTAATGACAAATGTGAGTTTATTGATTTATTATTCATTTATTTACGCAAACCATAATCAGATGTATAATATTTACTTTTCTGATATATAAATTTACAATTAAAAATGCCACAGACTCATTTATTCTTACAACATATCCTTCGTTATATGTTAACAAAAGAGTACATACTGCATTTATATTATATTTTATTTTTCAAATCACATTGTCAAAGTAATATTAATTATAATATTAACATTTTTAGTCTCGAAGGAGAGTCAGTCGCTTTTGCAACAAGTTACCAAGGGCTGGTATATTTTGGGCATGCGTTAGAGATGCTTTTACATCACGTTTTAGAAGATGAAGCGGATCATGCTGTTCAAACAGAAAAAGGTAGTTTAGATAGATCATTGTAATTATATTTGATAGTATATGTCATGGGTGTATAATTAATTTATTATTTAAATTACTTTGATTTTGATTCGGTATTTCATCATAAAAACATGCAGTTGGCGTGTTACCACGTGTTGTAAAGTTCATCAATCATTTCCCCCATGCGCTTGATGCTATTGTAGGCTGTGCGCGTAAAACCGAAGTTGCTTTATGGGATTATCTATTTTCTATTGTGGGAAGTCCAAAAGATTTATTTGAGGTAATAACTAATTATATAATGTAATGTCTTTTAACCAATGACTAATTCGCTTTGGCATTTTAGAAATGTATGGAAACCGGATTACTCAAAACAGCCGCGTCTTATCTACTTGTTCTTCATACACTGGAACCCATTGCTGATAGTAGCAAAGTTTGTATAATACATTTATTGATATTTTTATTTTTTATTTTTTTTTACAAATTTTTGAATTCTTTTTTAGGATACCATAAGATTGTTATCTAAGGCCATGGAAGCTGAAGATTATGATGTGAGCAATTTTTTAACATTAATCATATATGTATAGTAAATCCTCGACTTAACTCAAATTCCATTTTACTAGTTATGCAAAGAACTCGTAAGATTTTTGAATTCTATAGATGGTACGCTCTTTTCATTACATTTACTTTCTGCTATTTATTATTAATTATTAAGCATTGCCTTATCATGCTATTTAGGGTCGGGTAAAACTCTGAAAGATGCGTTATCAACAATCCAAATGCATCGCTAGTTTAGTCCAGTATACAATATTTTTACTAATTATCTAACATTGTCAATCAAATAAAATGTCTTTCAGAAATAATTTTTTTAATCTAATTTTTATTTAACAACAATCATTTTATTATATATATTTGTCAAATGATTTAAATATATATTATATTATAAAAAGAAATAATAATGGGTGTCTCAAAAAAATTTATAAAAATGCTCCTAGTATTTTAAATCTTAATGAAAAAAATTCTACTTTCTAAATAAAAATAAAAATAGATAGGTGATAACAATATTCCAGATCATCAATTACTATTATTATTAAAAACATTTATATATCATTTGTAAAAGAATGTGTGTATTTCGACTTAAAAAAAAGACTTAAAAGTAACTTGTATAAATGAAATCATACCGTCGTAGTCTTTCAGTCTTTCATTATCGATTGTAGGCTACTGACCATATGTCAACGAATATACTATAATCATTAATGCGTGCTTATTTTATTAACAAAATAACAAATATTAAAATAGTAGATTTATAATCAGTCTTACAATTGCATCGCTTATGTTAGAGAACCTGGCATGGTAACTATTGGCATGCCATTGCCACAAAAAACCAGGGTGGCATGCCACTTTATATTTATTAATTATATTTTTTATTAAGTATTAAGTCAAATACTTTTATTAAATAGAGATGAGCTTAATATATGGGGTGTTATCAATTAAAACAGCCCTTTTTTACTTTTTTTAAAAAATTGAGTTTTTTCGATTTTCTAATAGA